ATTGATTCTCAAAGTAGACCCATTTGAGTTGGAAAATGAAGGGAAAAAGTGGCTTTTGTCCCACATTGCTTTGGAATGAAGATTTTCCCCCCTTACATACAAGAGCTCTTTTGAAGCTTGTAGAATTGTATAGCATAGAGGCTCTCTCGCGCGGGGGGTGGGGGGTGCAAATCAAATTCCAACTAGCAGAGATTGAAAAAGGCTTGATTCAAGCCCGAGCTCGTGTGCGCCGGCACCTGGGGGCACGAATGTTATTGGTTGGCCTTGCGGGCTAAGTTATGCCAAACTTCGGTATCATTTTCCAATTGGTATAGCCACTTGGTTCGGCCAGAACCGAACCGAGAGCACCTACTCTCATGCTACAAGAGAGCACGAGAGGTTGTGGTGCACCGAGAGCACAACTCTCGTGCAACAGCCACCTATTGAGGGGATTGAATTCATCTGTTACGGAATTAATTGTTTATTAATTTCAATTTTGAATTCTGAATTCAATTCCCAGGTAGTGGCCTGCTGTTATAGCTGTTGGAAGGCAGCTTTAATGTCATTTTTAATTGCCATAATAAAGGTTATTGGCTCCTTCAACCCTATATAAGAGAGGGTAGAGGCAGTAGAGTTTTACACACAGTGAGAACAGCAAGAACACTGCACGAAACTTTTGTTTTCCAACCTCAAAATTCTGCTTCTACTCCTCTTCTTAGCCATACTGTGTTCATAACCGTGTCTTGCTCGCCGGATTCCTTGTTTGAGTGCTCAAACATTGAATCACTAGCAAATTTTATCCTGGGAAGCCTAAGCCACAACGCTCCTAGCATCTTTGGGAGGTGGCAAATAAGGTTTTAAGGAAAGAGTGCTCACTTGACTCTTGCAAAAACCCAACACCAAACACTAGCCAAATTTCTTCATCTTTTCTTCCCTTCTTTCCAGAAAATAATAATATTATTTTTGATTATTATTTGTGTTTTCTACCAACGGTACCTACAGTCAAACTTTCAATTCAAACTGTGAACTAAACTTGAATGAGTGGTGGACAAATAATGGAGAGCAAGAATATTAGAACTTGTAATTTGCAGGTACAAGAGTCATATATGCTTCACTTCACCTATTCGACTACTCATTTTGGGTTATATTTTTTATTTTTTTATTTTTAAAGTTTTGTTCTACTTGAGTAAATTTGTATGTGCACGCTCATAGTCTCTCCTTTTATTTATTTATTTGTTTTTTTGAAACATTCTCCCTTTATTTATTAGTTTTGAAGATTATATTTGTTCTAGCTTTCGTTTCTGCATGTTTGTTTTGCCTCATCACTTTTACAATGAGACGGTTTAGTAGCGTCGGAGCTTATTAGCGGATCCTATCCGTTGTGTTAATTCTATTTTTTTTGTTTTTAAGGCAGAATTTTTGTTACAAGATACAACCTAAATAAAAAATAAAAAAATGAGAGCTCATAGAGTGATCATTGTTGAGATCCTCATTATTTGCCCCTTGCTTTCAATATACTGCTTTTTAATTTACCGTAGAAGAATGGGGGATGAATTATTATTACTATGATTGTTTTATGGTCATTTATAACCATTTATGAGGAATTATGCCAATGGTTTTATGGTCTAAAGTGACTTAAATAGGAGGTCATGTATTTAATCTTTTTTAGTGGGTAATTATGCCAATGGTTTTGTGATCTAAGGTGACTCTACTAAAAGGGAGGTCATGAGTTTAATCTTTAGTGGTGACAGTTTTTTTTTTTTTTTTTTTTTTTTTTTTTTTTTTTTTTTTTTATGGGTTTGATCCTTAGTGGTGACAGACTGACAGTATTTTTTTTTAAACGGTCAAAGTTCACCCGACTAACCGGTTTGCTCCAGGAGGCACGAGAGGTGGCCCAAAGGTATCGTCACTTGTGAGAATCGAACTTGAATTATCCCGGAATTCTTCTCCACAAGGAGATCTCATTTGCCACTTGATGTGCTACCCCGTTGGATTTAGTGGTGACAGTATTGACTCTTTGTGTAGGTTGAGAAAGTAGTTATGAACCTCATTGTAATAGAGTCAGTAGTACTAATAAAAATAGTGGAATATAATAAAGGTGATGTCATGTGGAATATAGATAATATTTTTAATAAAAATAAAATTTTAATTATTATTATTTTAATTAATTTATAATAAATAATACTTTCAATAAAAAATAAAATAAAGACATGTATCAATACTGTATGCATTTAACCTGATAAACAAGTCAATTTGAACTTAATTGAACAATCTTACAGATTTAGGGGACCTGAATGGAACTTTTTTCACTTAGGGAACCTAATTGCACTATCCACTCAACTTAGGAGGCCAATTTAACACTTTTTCTAAGAAAATAAAATATAAATTAATGAGCCCCTTGGATTCCTTTGATTTTGTGGTTGTGGGGCTTTTTCCAGAATGAACTCACAACAAAACCATCAACTTCCACAACTCAACCCACCCTCTCTCACCTACTCCCACAACCTTATTACCACCTTCCTCGTGTACCTTTCCTAGGCCTCCGATATACAAAGATAATTTTGTCAAACCAATTCTTTTAACCAAGTTTTAGTATATGTACTCTTAAATTTTATTTCGTGATGTGACGGATTCTGATAAGGTTTTTTTTTTTTTTTTTTTTTTTTTTTAAAAAAAAAAAATTATGTGGGTCTCAATATAAATGTCAACATCAAGATTTTGTATTTGGGAGTACAAGTTGAGAATACAAAGTGGGAGTACATGTAGTATTTTCCTTAATCAAATACCACACTATCTAAAAAACAGTTCTACTACATAGACTCATAAATTATTCTTCCAAAGGCTGAACCCCAACCCTAAGGGCCCCCATACCCCTGCTCGACAGAGCATTTGGGAGGATGTAAATCATGGTGACTCAACTGAACATGAACCATAGAGGCTAGACCGGTGCTCACTGATAGACTCATAAATCATACTCCTTGATGTGGCGTGGCGGGCATTGATAGACTGCTTTTTTCATGTGGGTCTCAATTCAAATGTCTACATCAAGATTTTGTGTGTGAAAGTAAAAATTGAAAGTAAAAAATAAGAGTACATGTAGTATTTTTCATCTAAAATAGCAATACTAGTGTTTAGTCTATTAATTGATTTGACAAAATGGCATGATGGGATATGACATTAAATTAATGTACTTTGACAAAGGCTAGTAAATGCCTGGTACGTTGTTTATCGTTTGATTAGTGTAGTTTGTGTTCTATGTGCTCGCACGAAAAATGACGACCTTGACAACCATGAGGACAAAGATTTGCTCACACTAGTTATATACTAATACACAAGATTAAACGGCAATCACTGAATATTTGTTGACATGATTAATGACGAGTAATACGTTTTATTATATAGTTTAATTTTTCTTCTTTTTTTTTTTTTTTTTTTTTTCAAAAAGATGGTGAAGAATTTGGTGTTTTTATGGTCCATTTAATCATTGGAATTGAAATTTTTTAGAGTTTCAATTTATTCAAATTGTGAATTTTCATATTTATAACAAGTGTTTAGTAAATAACTTTTGAAAATGAGTTTAATGAACCAAAAACTACTTAGAGCATCATTTTACTTTGTTTTTTTAAGAAAAATATCAAATTACTTTAATACCTTCACTTTTCTTCTTAAATTGTAGGATCCCACAAATGTCATATTTTAACATTGATTTCCATTTTATTTTAACTTATTATGATAATATATAGCATATGATGCACATGGTAAATTTTAAGTAACAAATGGAATCTTATCTTAGCCTCACATACCTCTTTTTTGTTGAACCGAAAACTAACACCCCAAGAATGAAAGGTCCCCCCCACTCCCCCTCTCTCATAATTCATCCCCTGCTCAAAAACAGATTGATCGCTACGTTACAATTTAATATCATATACTTAGTCACAAAATAGAAAATGTCCTTCCCTTAGGTCTCACACCTCAAACCGACATAATATTGATAGGAGAATTCGTGTTTAGTGTTCACAATGAGCCAACCATATTGATCGAGTATAATTAACTTTGTTCAGAAAAGATAAACTTTCCTCTTATCCAGAACCACGCATGATAGTAAGAGTGAATTAGTATGACTTATCAATTCATTGAATTGCAATTCATAGGTCCCTATGAACCTATGAATTGCAATTCAATGAATTCATCCATACAATGAAAATGGAAAAAGGAAGGAAATAACATATTTGTCCTTGAATGTTTTATTAATATTATTATACAAGGGTATTTTAGTCTTCATATCACTTCTCTCATTTCCATTATTCCTCATTGCCAAACAATGTAATTATAATTCCTAATTTATTCACACCTTATTCTTTTCCTACCGAATTACAATTTCTTTCCCCCTTAATTCATTCTTTCCAACCAAATGCCCTGTAAGAATTTATTGGGTTCGGATTTAATTATATATATATATATATTTGGGAAAAAGGTCAAATAGACCCTCAAACTATTGCTCAAAAGTCAATTAGCCACTCCAACTTTTTAAAGGTGCAATTACACCCATGAACAATGTATTTTGATGCAATGAAGCCCAAATACATATAAATGACTTGCAATCATAGGTCATTGCAGCTCTGGCCACTTTTCGACATATTTTCAGGCAAAAAAGTGACCGGCGACAGGCGACCGATGAACGGTCGCCGGTCACGGAGAAGGCAACCCTTCTCCAGCGAGAATGCGACCATTGTGGTGGCCTTCTCCAGCGTCTCCGGTGAGTGGTCGCCTCTCCGTGACCGGCGACCATTCACCGGTCACTTTTTTGCATGAAAATATATCGGAAAGTGACCGGAGCTGTAATGACCTATAATAGCAGGTCATTTGCCAGTATTTGAGCTTCATTACATCAAAATACATTGATCATGTGTGTAATTGCTTCTTTAAAAAGTTAGAGATAATAATTTGATGGCCTATTTAACCCTTTTCCCTATTTTTTTTTTTTTTACCACAGTCTATCGCTGATATTTTTATATACTGATATTCACGTCGTGCAAAATACAAAAAACAAAGCGTTTCGTTGTGAAACTTTCATCAAACACAGACCCTAAGCCGGCCTGCATTATTATTTCCTCCGATCCGAACCAAAAAAAGAAATGGCTTCAGCAGCACCAAATCTCCATGCCAACTTTGGACTTCCAGTCTGCCTCTCAGGGATCCCTCTCCCTCTCCCTCAAGAGTACTTACTATCCACGGATTTGATCCATCTCTACTCTTCTTCTTAGCTTGGTGTCACTTCAACCACCTACATACCTACCTAGCTAACTCTAACAGAAGCTGCGCTTTTGGTTTTGCAGGATGGCGGATCATGATCGCCGGAGAAAAGCCATGAAAACCCCGGCGGCGGCGGCGGCGTTTGAACCAAAAGATACCTGGGGGAGCAGTAGTGGCGCAGAGAGGGGAAATCAAACAAGCCCCGGACCCGGAGATTCTGATTTCGCTTCTGTCTTGCGTGATCTGGGTTCCATCTCTTTGGGTCGTACAGCCAAGGCTGCATAAGTGCATATATAGTACTCTCATCTCTCCAGAATGTATCTTTAATTTAATTTGTGTTAGTATAACCTGTGATTTGATTAGCAATTGTTGGCGTTTTCTTATTAATGGACTTCTTGTCGGTTTCTCTCTCCCTGTACATTTGTGCTAGATCTGGTTTCTTCAATTCATTCCAGCTCTGGGTTTGTGGGTGAAAAAGTAAATTACGCCTAGAAAAAAAAAAAAAAAAAAAAAAAGACACATTCTGCAGTATTTACTAGCGGAATTAATCTAAAATTGTGTTACTATCAAATTTGTTTGTTTTTTTTTGTTTTTTTGTTTTTTTTTTTGGGTACATTGGAGGAGGCGAAAAGCCCCCGCTAAGTAATTCTCCGAATCAATACGTCCTCGACATTAGCTCGTAAGAAATTCAATAAATATTTTAAAGGATTCTCAAAAATGGGCGTCTTTCAAACACTAAATTGACCGATGTTGACCAGCTTATCAGCATATTAATTTCTCTCCCTCAAGACATGATAAAATAGCACTATTTCAAATCCCTCAACGAATTTCCTGCAATCATTTGATTAGGGGATTCAAATTCACATTCATTCGTTATCGCATAACTTCTAATGACCTTAACATTTGTCAAATTTGCATTATTGAATTAGTTATTGGTGTTCAAATAAACATTACAACTTTAATGCACAATATAACATTGAAATATTACATAGAAGACGACATTGATTTAGTCCCCGGACCCCAAAATAGTACGGACGATCAGGCTTAGAGCATGAGTTAATTCCAGCAACAGTCCTCCGACTATATTGATTTTCCACAATTAATCCTTGACTTTTAATTTGGACAATTTAGGTCCCTTGACTTCTGAATTTTTTCCAATGTTGGTCCTTCCGTTAGATGAAAGTTAAATGGCCGTTAAATGAAGGGGTAAAATAGTCTTTTCATCTGTTTGAAGATAAAAGCTGTTTGACCCATTGGATGAAGGTATGTTTTTTTTTTTTTTTTGAATCACATTCGATGAAGGTATAGATACATATAAATAGAAAGATAAAAACTGTCGGTGAATTAGTATGTACAAAAAAAAACGAAAAACCTGATAGATAGATAGAGCCAGGCAGAGTTGTGGATAAGAATGCCGCCGGGAAGATATTTGGTGGCCGTGGTAATTTCCGGCGAGTTAATGTCTGCGGCGGCGGCGGTTTTATGCGGCGAAGGGTCGTTGAGTTTCACTCTGGAGAGGGCATTTCCGACGAGTCATGGAGTGGAGATGAGTCAACTCAGAGAGAGAGATCGAGTCTATCACGGCCGAATCTTGCAGTCCTCCGGCGTCGTTGATTTCCCCGTCGAAGGCACTTACGATCCCTTTCTCGTTGGGTAATCCCTATAAATTCTCTCTGATTTCTTCTTTATATCTATTCAAGAAAGTTGCCGAAGTTTCTATTGTACCAGATTCAAAATTCTCATATAATTGAGTAAAAGATAAAATCTTTGTGTCTTGAGTAGAAAGTTTTGGTTCACGAATCTTTAACTTGATTGTATTTCTATACTTTTCAAAGTTATGTTGAATGCCAAATTGCAAATTGTTGAAATTATCTGTATATTTCTTAATGGGATTTTCACTTCTCAGTGATTTTATCTCTGTTAACGAGTTGATTTTGGATTGGATCTTGTCCAGTTTTGATTGTACTAGGAATGCAAAGGAGGATTATTTAAGAATAATATGAATAGTTGATTGATCTGTTAGGGTTTTAAACAATCATTACTGATTTCTTAGCTCTTATGAATATGGTTCAGGTTTTACTTTACTAGGGTTCAGTTGGGTTCTCCACCGAAAGAATTCTATGTACAGATTGATATTGGAAGGAATGGAAGCAATGTCTTGCGCGTACGGCGTATACAGGGAAAAATACAAATAATTATACACTAAGCAAGTGAACGGACTACTTTACCCCTTTTATTTAACTTCCATTTAACTTTCATCTAACGGAAGGACCAACATTGGAAACAATTCAAAAGTCAAGGGACCTAAATTGTCTAAATTAAAAATCGAGGACTAATTGTGGAAAATCAATATAGTCAGAGGACCATTCCTGAAATTAACTCCTTAGAGCATCTACATAAGAGGTTTATTTAGGGATTATGTACGATTTTGAGAAATACAAAGCCAACATGAATGAAAGATTAACAAGAAAAAGAAGGTTGGGGTTTATGGCAAAAGATGTGGGACTCACATCAAAAATAAATCAAACGTGACAGGCCTTGCGTGGCTGTTGCGCTAAGAAGTTTTTTTTTTTTTTTTTTTTTTTTTTTAATCTTTTTCCTCTTTCTTAATCACATTTATAAAAATTATTCAAAAATTATAAATAAATCCCACTAATATGGATGTTCTTATAGACCCAGGCCAGATCAGAGCTAGCTTATGCGGTGTTCATCCTCTCCGGCCCGAGGGATACGCTCGGCGACAAAGTGACAAGGCTTTGGATCCACCACTTTCAAGTAGCCATGTGGTTGTGTGGCCACATCAACCACAAAAACGGACAAAAACAGGATCCACGACTTTTCCGATTATCTAGCCATCTAGCCAAAGGAAATTAAAGCACAAGGAAACCATACATCAATAATATAATGGCCTTGTTTGGTAAATGGCCGGTAGCGGTTAGCTGATTGTGTTAATTAGAGGGTATAACTAGTTGATAACATTAGCTGTTATAGAAAAGTGTTTGGTAAATTAGTTGTTAGCTGATAGCTGTTTGGTATAATTTTTTTTTTTTTTTTCTAAAAAAGCTAATTGAAAAAGTTGTTTGGAATAGTTTTTTTAATTTTAATATTTTGGAGTTACAAAAAGCTAATTAACCAAACACTTATATTGATATTTTAACTAAATCAAACAATTAATAGTGATAAAAAAAAAAAAAAAAAAAAAAAAGAAGCCAAACTTGACCTATAGGCCAATTTTTTACCAAACAGAGCCAATATAATATGTTCCTAAAATGGTGATCGAGTAAAGCACAATTCTCATACATTGAGGTTACGAATTCGATTCTTATGAACATCCTCTTACTCCAGCATATGACACGAGATCTTCCTAGTGTGGCTGGGTTTATTCAGTGCAACCCTAATATGGTGACTACGAGTTTTTCACGTGCCAAAATAAAAAAGAAATAATATTATTATCCACAACTTTTGTGAACACTCGTGATTATTTACAAGTTAGTATTTGTTTTATATTTTCTCAATACCTCTTACCACGTAATTTTTTCTATTATTGTGTAAACATACTCATACATGAGAACTGTGATCATATCCCTATTTTGGACAAAGGATGGGTTGCTATCTATATCAATGAACAATCAATCTAAATCTTGTATTATTTAACACATTTTATATAATTAAATTGGTATAAAAAGATGGATAATAATATATATGTTACAAGTTACATATATAATTACTCTACCATTTTATGTAAAATGCATTTTGTTGCTAATATTGCCCATGCCACACAAATTGTCATTGTCATATTAATAGTGATGCATGCCATGTTTAGCTACTTGGTTATGCAATTATGACCAACGAACTGTCATTTTCAATTTATCACAACTTGTAAATGATAGAGTTAATAATCCATGAAAGAAAATTGAGACAAGTCACATATTGTGCTAGATTATAGGTGCAAAATTCATAATCTGTTCTATATATGACTATCAATTTAGATATATTTTTAAATATAATAGCAAGTAATTAATCATGAAATAAATAATAAAGGTATATAAAAGTATATTTTAGCAATAAATAGTTGTTCAATCGAGCACTGTGCGAATTTTACTATCTTGTGGGAGTGGAAGAATTTCACCCTCTTGTGTAAGTGGTTGTTTGTGAGCACCAAAAACCAATCTTCCCATTTAATGAACCATTGAGTTAACATGATTTACCTATCTACAATTTTGTCATGCTGGAAAGGGCCATTGAGGTGGGTAAATTATTATGTGGACTCTGGTCCACCTTGCATAGTTTACATATTAACACAATTTACCTTTTGAAAATTCACAATTTGTGATGACTTTGTATTGTATTAACAAATTATCAAAACTTAAAAATATAATTTATATTCTAAATGTTCGCGATTCTAATACTAAAAATACACAAATTAGGATCAGGGTCCACCTTGAAAGGTAAACCCTAGTGCATGGTATAACAACAAATTGAGGTGAGGGTGGACAAGTTATTCAAACTCACCTAACACAAATATTAAATGATTGAATCTTGCGAATGAGATACATAGTTATTTATTTTATTTTACTCAAAGTCTAAAATAAATAATGCAGTTGGAAGGTCGGATATTAGATTTTTACAAATAGTGCATTATAATAAAGTGTTATGAGTCAAATTTTGCTAAGTTAAATTATACAGGTATGATCTAAATTGAATTCAAATGAATCATACAATAATGAGAATAGGTATTAAAAAAAAAAAAAATCAAATATAAAGGAAGTTATATTTCAATTGTTACCCTAACCCCTCAAAATTGTACACCGTACATGAATCATTACAAACGTGGAATAAATAGTAGGGTATTTTGATTTTTGATACGTAAGGTCCAAAGTAAAAAATGAAAAATGAAAAATAAAAATAAAAAAATAAATCCCAATCTCAGCCTCGCCGGTTCTGCGTCTTATAGATACAAAGGAAATTTACTTGCCGAACACCTTCCTTCCCTGTCCCATTAGATCTCAGCTTCGTTTCTCCACGCTCCACCGTTGTCTCAGCGACTCTGCTATTGTCTTCTTCTGCCGGATTTCAGGATAACGAACCAGAGAGGTAAAATCACCTTTCGTTTTCATCTCCAGATCCATCAACGAATCAATCAATTTTCAATTCTGCGTTCCATTCAAACGTAATTTGATTTTGTTTATCTGATTTGATTTCTAGTCATTTTGTTTAATAAATACTGCACTCACTTGTATTTTCACCGATTTCACCGCTATCGCTGTTGATCTAGAGTTCGCATAATTAGAGTTTTACTGTTTGTCAGTCTGTCCTATATGTTTTATTACGGAGAATGAATCATTCGCTTATATGCGCATGGATGAGTTGTATGTGTGCGTTGGTCAATGCAGATGATTGTGATATGATGGAGAGAAGTGAATGATCTGGAGATCACTGAGTGTAGTGATTCTATATATTTATTTGGTTGATTCCGTATGGTATGTGATTTTATTTGTTTTGGTTGATTTTCCAGTTCAAAACATGCCGGCTCAAAATGGTATTGACATGGAGGAGGGAACTCTGGAGATTGGCATGGGTAATTTCTTAATATACTACATGAATATGGAATGCACCAATCTGCATATTCTCATATGCTACTTGAAAATTGCAAACCTACTCCAGATCAAATCATTATTCGATTTACATGTGCATTCTTATAATTACTGGTAGTGGTATCAGGCAAGCTACAAATGAGCCATTTATTATGACTCACAGGTGACCGGGTAATTTCGTAACATCTTTGGGGTGATTCTAGTGGTTTTAGAACCTTCTGGCTTTCTGTAGTGCATAAGCATTTTTATAGCATTAGCTAAAAAACTCAAGCAATGGGAGAATGTTTGCTGTAACTCATAATTGTTTAGAGTACTCATCCTTCACTATATCAGATAATTTGCCAGTGGATATTGAAAGGAAATATTCTTATTTTATTCTGAACAGAAGGTTCCATTTTCTTTTTATATATTTATTTGTGGTTTTGACTTTGTAATCAATTCCGTGAACTATCTAGGATGTGAAAGTCCTCAAGTTCCATTTAAAACATTGTCATGGACTTACATTGATGCATTTTTGCAGAATATAGAACTGTTTCTGGAGTTGCAGGGCCTTTGGTGATCCTTGACAAAGTCAAGGTGATTATATTACCTTTTATTATTCTCATTCTGATCTGTTTCCTTTGTGTACCTTCGAAATCCCTTTTCTTAATGTGATATGACTGAGATTTGTACAAATAAATATTTTGTGGCAGGGACCCAAGTACCAGGAGATTGTTAATATTCGTTTAGGTGATGGAACTACCCGACGTGGACAAGTTCTGGAAGTCGATGGGGAGAAAGCTGTTGTTCAGGTTAATTGTTTCTTAACCTCTTTTGCTGGATAGTTGCCCCTCCCCCCCCCCCCCCCCCCCCCCCCCCCCCTTTTCTTTTTTAAATTATGTTTCTTTCTTTTAACCTTCAAACCATTTTAAGGTAACACCAGTTTAGCGCTAAATTCACTTAAGTAATTGATCATTTGCTTCATGTTTTATTTTTCTAATAACCAGGTTTTTGAGGGAACTTCTGGAATTGACAACAAATATACAACGGTGCAATTTACTGGGGAGGTATTATTCTTTCTCATTCTCATGTTATTTATTTATTCATATAGAAGCTCTACTCTTAAATATTCCAAGTGAAATGCCTCAGCTTGATGTTCTTTATTCGTCTCATTGGAAAAAAAAAAAAGAACATTTGTTGATGATTTCTTTTTAGTACCTTTGATGATTTCTTTGTTACAGGTTTTAAAAACTCCAGTCTCCTTGGATATGCTTGGTCGCATTTTTAATGGTTCTGGGAAACCAATTGACAATGGTCCTCCTATTCTTCCCGAGGCTTACTTGGACATTTCTGGTAAAATTTTATTTCCAGAATATCCTTGTGTTATTTATGTAGATTCTTATCTGTTTTGCACTCATGTATATACTGGTTGACTTCAGGAAGTTCTATCAATCCCAGTGAGAGAACCTATCCTGAAGAAATGATTCAAACAGGAATTTCAACAATTGATGTCATGAATTCAATTGCTAGAGGGCAAAAAATTCCCCTCTTCTCTGCTGCTGGTCTTCCTCATAATGAAATTGCTGCACAGATCTGTCGCCAGGCTGGTTTGGTGAAGCGGCTGGAGAAATCTGAAAATCTTCTTGATGTAAGTAATTTTTTGTGAATATTTACCTGTTTAAGTCTTATGCATTGTGGGTATTATCTATTTCCCATAATAACATGAGGTTGAATTTTTTTGAGCTAGCTGTGTAAGCAATTCATATTGTATCAATATATCTGTGGATGAGTGGTTGTATTACTTGCTCATATATATGATACATTTGTCATTGAGTCATATTAGGAATTTAGGATGATTCTTATTTTTTCTGCTTGCTCATGATGTCAATAGGGTGGTGAAGAGGACAATTTTGCCATTGTCTTTGCAGCTATGGGAGTGAACATGGAAACAGCTCAGTTTTTCAAACGTGATTTTGAAGAAAATGGATCTATGGAGAGAGTGACCCTTTTCCTGAACTTGGTAATTTTTCAAATAATATCATACCAATAGTTTTATTTGTTAATTTTTTGAACAATATCATATTATATAAAAAACTGGAAAAGCTATTACGATGCAATGGCCGCTGCTAGGTGCCAGACCATCTATCTCTGTAAGTCGGAAAACCCCTTTCCTAACAGTGTAATCAAGGCCAAGGCCGAGGCCAAAAATGAAACCCATGGCAAATGTCCAAGTAAAACCAAGATTATCTGTATTCGATACTTAATTATGTGTTCTTCAAGGTGGAACTATACATTCTGTCCATTTATGTGTGCTTCATACTTTCTTCATGCAGGCTAATGATCCTACTATTGAACGTATTATTACTCCTAGGATTGCTCTGACAACTGCAGAATACTTGGCATATGAATGTGGGAAGCATGTTCTTGTGATATTGACAGATATGAGTTCATATGCTGATGCTCTTCGTGAGGTATTTCCTTTGAATTCTTTATACATCATCATCTCATGTTTCTTCATGAGGATGTAGTAGAAACTTGAAGTGGGTTCAATGGTGGGGCTTCATGGTCAAATTTCCTGAATATTTTTTTTCACATTGCTGGAACTGTGGCATTAATCGGTGCTCTAGGTATCTGCTGCTCGAGAAGAAGTTCCTGGAAGGCGTGGATATCCTGGTTATATGTATACAGATCTGGCAACAATCTATGAACGAGCTGGACGTATTGAAGGAAGAAAAGGTTCCATCACACAAATTCCAATTTTGACCATGCCTAATGATGGTAATATTCTACTACTTTGCATCATTATTTTTCACCAACTTATTGCCTACATTTTTTGTGAATCAGCATTCCTTTGTTTATTTGGACAGATATTACCCATCCAACTCCTGATTTGACGGGTTATATCACAGAAGGACAAATATATATTGATAGACAGCTTCATAACCGGCAGGTAACACTGACATTCATGCATCATATATTAGTACTTCTAATGAGGAAGTAAAACTTCCTAATGGTCATGTGCCTCAAGCTTATATAACACTGCCTAGGATATGAGTAAAAGCATCTAATCAGTAGCATGGTCAACAAGATAGCAGATTGAATGTCAAGGTGTTCATATACGTATTCTGAGTTCCTGTACCTCCTGCCAGTCATTTCTTGAGTTTTGCCAGGAGGTGCCTTGTGTTCTGCTGCTGCTGTGTTAATGCCCATATTAAATTGTTGAAATCAATGTGATTCATGAACTTGATTTCCTTGAAAAATTATGTCTAGTTTTAATAGGAATACTATTTCTGTGTTTCTTTACAAATAACCCTCCATTCGAGCCCTGGAGCTGATTTATCTGTCGTTAACAGCTTCCAACATCATTGTTCTTAATGGAAATTGGACTAGTAGATCTGAAATGGATTTTTAAATTTACAGATATACCCACCAATCAATGTGCTTCCATCCTTGTCTCGTTTGATGAAGGTAAGTCCATGGCTTTGTTTGCATGCTCTAATTGACAAAACTATACGAAGAGTTGGAGAGGAAGGAGTATAATATTGGAGTTACTTGTTGCAGAGTGCTATTGGAGAGGGTATGACTAGGAGGGATCACTCAGATGTTTCAAACCAGGTAATGATCAATTGTAGCAGACTGACTAGCAGCCAGCTCAATACCCGTTTTACTCTTTAATTGTAGACTGAAGTCTTTTTGATTTTGTTCTTTATGCATATAGCTTTTGTTTTTTATTCTATTTCCAGCTATATGCAAATTATGCCATTGGGAAGGATGTCCAAGCAATGAAAGCTGTGGTTGGAGAGGAAGCACTTTCTTCTGAGGACCTGGTTTGCTACTTAACAAAACCCCGTTTGTTTACCCCCTCCTTTTTATGTGATTGAGTGTTCAGATAGCTAACACATATATCTTAAATGTAACAGCTATACCTAGAGTTTCTAGACAAATTTGAGAGGAAGTTTGTTACCCAAGGAGCATATGACACCCGCAACATCTTTCAGTCACTTGATTTAGCATGGACACTCCTCCGAATCTTCCCTAGGGAGCTTCTACACCGTATCCCAGCAAAGACCCTGGATCTATTTTACAACAGGGATGCTACTAGTTGATGAGCAAGAGACCAGATTTGTACTCTAGTCCCCCGGTGTGATTTGAGCATCTTGAGATGTTTTATGCACGTTTTCCTTGCTAGGTTGCCCATCTCTAGCTCCTCCGAGTTCAATAAAGAAAGCCTCTAAATTGAGTTCTCAAAACCTAGTATCTCCAGCATTCAAGAGACAATTCATATTTTTTTAATGGTTCATGTATTTTATATTTTTGTTATCCAAAATGTGGCATGACAGGTGGTTGGTTTTGCATTTGTATTACTCCATTTGTCTAAGTTATTTTTGGGGCTTTTAGAAACTAGGAGCTAGTAATAACAAGTACTTTACGATTTGTTTGTGTTTATCTAGGCATCATTCTTTCCGTCAGATGTGTCACCCTTGCAAAAGTCAAAAGTCAATTTGTGCAAAAGTAAGGCTAATGCATAAATTTTTTGGTATGTCAAATTTTGGCAAAAGAAAGTATTTCCGGTCCGAAATTTAGAGATGAGAGCAGCTTGTCTAAGATAATGATTTTTTCCACAAAAAGCCAGAAAATAAGTTTTAATAAGTTTTAATAAGTTAATATAAACACAATTTTACAATGACCGAGTTAGATAATTCTTTACTCACAAAAAGTACAATAATTATGAACTCCCATTCTCTCTCCAATTATAAACTCCCATTCGTTTCAATGTTCCAATTATATGCTTACAAGTTAAATTCTCTCCTAGTATCTTCTTTTACATGTAAAAATTTAGCAAATTATTAACATAAACAAGTTCATAAATTAATATCAAACACTCGCCGCATGGCAACATAACTCCAAAGCCGCCTTTGTATATACCAAGGCACCTCAAAACATCAAACCACATAGCAAGAAAACTAAAAGACACAAGACTCGCCACCGCCTGTCTAGTACCCAATTCTGTGAATAATGGGTACCAAACATACAGGGCAAAAGACTACAACACATGAAATAAAACGAAGACCAGACTAGTACAACATTACTAAACCAAGAGAATTCTTTTTGACAAGCGTTATTAAAGCAGAGTTTATGAGCCAGCACGGTTCACTTCTTCTTCTGGGCAGCCTTGGTAACCTTGGCACCAGTTGGATCCTTCTTATCCACACTCTTGATGACACCAACAGCAACAGTTTGACGCATGTCCCTCACAGCAAAACGCCCCAGTGGCGGGTACTCAGAGAAGGTTTCCACAACCATAGGCTTAGTCGGAATCATCTTCACGAAACCAGCATCTCCGTTCTTGAGGAATTTGGGCTCCTTCTCAAGCTCCTTACCAGACCTTCTATCAATCTTAGTCATGAGTTCAGCAAACTTGACAGCAATGTGGGAGGTGTGACAGTCAAGCACAGGGGCATAACCATTACCAATCTGGCCTGGGTGGTTCATGATAATGACCTGGGAGGTGAAGCTAGAAGCCCCCTTGGCTGGATCATCCTTGGAATTGGAGGCAACATACCCACGCTTGAGATCCTTAACAGCAACATTCTTAACGTTGAACCCAACATTGTCACCTGGGAGTGCTTCTTGAAGAGCCTCGTGGTGCATCTCAACAGACTTAACTTCAGTGGTCAAACCAGAAGGTCCAAAAGTGACAACCATACCAGGCTTGAGGACACCAGTCTCCACACGACCCACAGGGACAGTACCAATACCACCAATCTTGTAGACATCCTGAAGTGGGAGACGGAGGGGCTTATCAGTGGGCCTCTTAGGCTCATTGATCATATCAAGAGCCTCAAGGAGGGTTGGGCCCTTGTACCAGTCAAGGTTGGTTGACCTCTCAATCATGTTATCACCCTCAAACCCAGAGATAGGAACAAATGGGATCTTATCAGGGTTGTACCCAACCTTCTTCAGGTAGGATGACACTTCCTTAATAATTTCATCATACCTAGCCTTTGAGTATTTGGGGGTTGTAGCATCCATCTGTGCAGATTTCATTAACAAACACAGGAGGTTAGATATCATTTCATGTAATACCACAATGGATACCATGCACATGGATTTTAAAAGAAAAAGCAATTAATAACCTTGTTGCAGCAGCAAATCATTTGCTTCACACCAAGGGTGAAAGCAAGCAAAGCATGCTCACGTGTCTGACCATCCTTGGAAATACCAGCTTCAAAACCACCAGTGGTGGAATCAATGATCAGGACAGCACAGTCAGCCTGTGAGGTTCCAGTAATCATGTTCTTAATGAAGTCACGATGTCCCGGGGCATCAATAACAGTGCAGTAGTACTTGGTTGTCTCAAACTTCCACAGAGCAATATCAATGGTGATCCCACGCTCACGCTCTGCCTTGAGCTTGTCAAGCACCCAGGCATACTTGAATGACCTCTTGTTCATCTCAGCAGCTTCCTTCTCAAACCTCTCAATCACACGCTTGTCTATACCTCCAAGCTTGTAGATCAAGTGACCAGTGGTGGTAGACTTCCCAGAGTCCACATGGCCAATGACAACAATGTTGATGTGAGTCTTCTCCTTACCCATGATGGATTACGAGAGCTGGAAAAGCAAAACCATAGCACAAGTTAGAGAACAAGTTTGAGACTCATTTAGTAATTTGTATATGTTATTTAAGAGTCTTCAACGGGGGATTATAGATTAGTAACATTGTTGAAAGGAATTATTATCGCAAGCTATATACAATAGAATAACAAATACACAGAACCTCAAACAGCAATAATCCAGAAACATCACTGCTTAAAAATTAACACCTCAAGTTTATCTAGACATTTTATACACTTTCGTGTAAATTTTCTTACCACAACTAAAGAAGTACAGAAATACATATCACATTGAAGCACAAGGACTCCATACAAACTAATTAAACAATAAAAACAAAAATCGCACACAGAAAAAAAAAAAAAAAATCCTCAAACGCTGATCAGTAAAAAGGATTTAGACAAGTGACGAATCGGAAGCGTATGTAACAAAGAGGTTAAGAAATACAGAACATCGAAGCAACTTTTTCCGTAAAGCTAAAAATTAAACGAAACGCGTAAATGGATTCAGAAACCACAGATTATAATAAAATCGCGACGGAAGCCGATTCATTCCGAAAGATGCAAAATTCCGATGGAAATTCATAAACAAATCAACATGCATAAATCGAAGGACATTCATTCACATCAACTTCAGAAAATTCAATCTGAATAGATAAGAATCGTGCCAAATATCGAAGTCGATCTGAGATCAAACCTTACGAATGCAAAGAGAGTTTACCCTAGAAACCTGCGGCGGGCCAAAAAGAGCTGAAGTGAAAGCAAGGAGTAGGAGATCTATGAAATACGGAGTATAAATAGGAAATGCCAACGTCGTCGTTCCAAAGGGAGCAGTCCTATTGAATATAGTATAGTACTCCGTATAATCGTATATGGATACGGGGTACATTTGTGTCCCAGGAGTTTTATTTATTTATTTATTTTTTTTGAAAGAATAATTTTTCAAGAGTTAATGTCAAAATAATCCTTTAACTATGCATTCAAAAAAAAAAAAAAATCCTTTAACTATGGTATAGTGTTATACACCTATACGGAATATAGTTTTTAAAAATAATTTTTAATTAGAGTAACATAATGTTATGTTTTCTTTTTTGAGTTCTCCTCTTTATTTAATTAATATAAAAATGTGTCTTTGTCATATTATACAACAAAACATCTTCATAATTACAAACTAACTGTCTAACTAATTTAATTAGGATTACCCCTTATTTGTCACATCTAATTAAAAAAATTAGTAGTTAAAGTTAAAAACACCTTATAAGTTATAAGTTTGTCTAACAAAATTTTAAAAATGTTTATTTTTGGGTGCATTTGGAATTAGTGGGGTCAAAGGCCTAGTTTATCTTATACTCATTGTCGGTATGCCTCGCGCACCGTGAGCTAAGAGATCTCTAAGGGCATCATCAATAGTTGAAAATTTTGGGAAGATTTTACATGTGTGATTAGGAAAGAGAAAATGAAAGAGAAGGAAAAACAAAAACAAAAATCTGGAAAAAAAAAAAAAAACCGCGCCCAGGCGGGCACAAGAGTTGCTCCTCACGCAACGTGAGGCGCAACTCTCCACTTTGTTGGGAGACCCACCATGCCTACTAAAGTCTCTATTTTGCAGGAATAAAATTTTCACAAAATCTTGTATTCCGATTTGTTAAAACTTAACCCAATAAAATTTTACTGGTCCAAAATTTGGCAAAGAACCCCCTGTTGGGATGCCCTAAGGCTATCTTCATCTTTAAAAAAATCTCTTTTTTCTAAAATGGACCCCACTTCCACATTATCAAATTTACAAATTATCTACTATTTGTTCTACATCTCTGCAATATTCTTTCACTTTCTAAAATGATCACACTTTCATATTATATTATAAATATAATAATATAATAAATAATTAAAGTACACAAATAAGAAATAATTTTTTTTAAAAAAAAAGTACACACGGCAGCCTTTGTCAGTGTTAGCACGCTTTCTAGTTAAGAGCATCATTATCTTTATCAAATGTACTAAGAGAATCATTATCAGTTGAGGATATTATGTCATTATCAGTTGGGGATATTATGGGGTATAGTAAGAGTGATTAGGAAAGAGAATGTGGGAGGGGAGAGAAAAAAGTTAAAAAAAAAAAAAAACTGAATTTAAAAAAAAAAAAAAAAAAAAAAAAAAAAAAAAAAAAAAGTAAACAGTGAAGTCAGGCACGCCCACTAGCGCGTGCAGGCTTTTGCCAACCTGTGCGCGTTCGTTTTCTTTTTTTAGAAAAAAATAAAAAATTCTGACATTATCTTGTATCTTGTAGGAGAAATAATTTTAAAAATAACTCCACCCCACATTTATAAATAACTCCACCCAAGTTATTTCGGCTCTGTTTCGCAAACTTAGCTGAAAAGCTATAAGCTAGGAGCTAAAAGGTGAAAAGGAGCTGCAAGCTGAAAAGCTATAAGTTCGGAGCTAAAAACTGAAGAGCTGCTATGATTGAAAGTGTTTGGTAAAATTAGCTTTTTGATAAGATGATAAATGTAAAAAGACTAAAAATGACATCTTCATAAAATTAAAATTAGTTTGTTTACATATTAAAATTTAACATTTTGTCTTTAAAAAAAAAAATTAACATTTTGAAATAAAACTATTAGCATAATCATGATCTAGCATATCATAATGAAGTAGCAATATTGTTGCAAATCTAATAATAATAATAATAATAATAATAATAATAATAATAATAATAATAATATTTGCGGTGAAAGTTGCGGATAAAAGAGAAAAGAAAAGAGTTTTAATTGGAAAGGTAAATTATGTTATTTATTTAAAATAATAAGGATAAAAAATGAAAAAAAAAAATTAGGAAGCTAGGAGCTTATTTTGGAACGCTACCTAGGTAGCGTTCCAAAATAATCTCTTATTGTAAGCTATGAACTTATTTTGGGAACATTATCAAACAGAGCTTACCTTATTAGTAGCTTAAAATAAGCTATAAGCTCCTAAATAAGCTTTGAGGTTCTGTTTGGCAAACCTAGCTGAAAAGCTATAAGCTAGGAGCTGAAAGCTGAAAAGCTATAAGCTCGGAGCTGAAAACTGAAGAGTTGTTAAGCTAGCTGTTATGATTAAAAGTGTTTGGTAAAAATAGCTTTTTGATAAGCTGATAAATGTAAAAAGACTAAAAAGGACAGCTTCATAAAATTTAAATTAGTTTGTTTACACATTAAAATTTAACATTTTGTCTTTAAAAAAAATTAACATTTTGAAATAAAACTATTAGCATAATCATGATCTAACATATCATAATGAAGTAGCAATATTGTTGCAAATATAATAATAATAATAATAATAATAATAATAATAATAATAATAATAATATTTGTGGTGAAAGTTGCGAATAAAGGAGAAAAGAAAGGGTTTTAATTGAGAAGGGTAAATTATGTCATTTCTTTAAAATAATAAGGATAACGATGGAAAAAAAGTTAGGAAGCTATGAGCTTATTTTGAAACGCTACCTTAGATAGCGTTCCAAAATAAACTCTTATTTTAAGCTAGGAGCTTATTTTGGAAACATTACCAAACAGAGCTTATAACTTATTAGGAGCTTAAAATAAGCTATAAGCTCCTAAATAAGCTCTGCCAAACAGAGCCTTAAGGTAGTGTTTCATAATAAACTCTTATTTTAAGTTAGGAGCTTATTTTGGGAACATTACCATACAGAGTTTATAGCTTACGCAAATTATGCAGTGGACTCGTGTCCACAATGCATTGTGGACACGAGTCCAAAACGACGTCGTTTAAGGGAAAACACGTCATTTCAGTTAAAAAGAATTGATTTTGTCTCGCCGTTAACAGCGTTATTCGTTTGTGCCATTATGAATGTACAGTTATGGGATTATGAATGTACAGTTATGGAATTATGAATGTAAGTTATAAAATTATGAACACAGAGCTCTGACATTATGAACTTACAAGAATAAATACCTAAAATGGTCCCTCGACTATAGCTAAATTCACAACTCGGTCCTTGACTTTTAATTTTAACCAATTAAGTCCTTAATTTTGCAATTTTAACACGGCTTGGTCCTCCGTCTATTTGACCGTTTGTTGATTGTGATTTTTGAGGATATATATATAATTTCATGGTCCATCGTCGATTTTTAAGGTTCCGATTGCATTTTCAGACCGTACTGTTACATTTGAATCCACCGCCGAAAGCAATCTGCCAAATCCTGTCGCCTTTCTTCATCCTCCCTTTGGATTCAATGTAGTTGAGTTCGTACCAGAGTGAAGAAGACAATGTGTTTCTGAACCGGTGCAGTATCATCCTGGAGGCCTCCATGTGCTCCGATGAGAGCTGCGGGTTCTTTTGGAGATCGCCGATGACGGCGCGGGCGCCGACGTTAATGCAGATGTGTTCGAAGGACCAAATCGTGTTAAAATTGCAAAGTTAAGGACTTAATTAGTTAAAATTGAAAGTCGAGGACCAATTTGTGAATTTAGCTATAGTTGAGAGACCATTTTTTGTATTTACTCAACTTACAATTATGAACATATAGTGATAAAATTATGAACATAGAACTCTAAAATTGTGAACATCGAGCTTTGAAAATTATGATTTTACAGTTATTGAATTATGAATGTACAGTTACGGAATTATGAATGTACAGTTATGCAATTATAAATGTACAGTTATGCAATTATGAATGTACAGTTATGAAATTATGAACATAGAGCTCTGACATTATGAACATATAGTGATAAAATTATGAACATAGAGCTCTAAAATTGTGAACATAGAGCTTCAAAAATTATGAAGTTACAGTTATTGAATTATGAATGTACAGTTATGGAAGTATGGATGTACAGTTATGGAATTATGAACATAGAGCTCTGACATTATGAACTTACAATTATGAACATATTATAATAAAATTATGAAACATATACTCCTATAACAAAGCGGTTTGAATTTTTTTTTTTTTTTTTAAAAAGAAGAAGAAGAAGAAGAAGAAGAAGAAGAAGAAAACAGTGCCTAACGGCACTGTTACCCGTGTCCAGCATGCATGCTGGACACGGGTCCATAGCATAACGATTGTATAGCTTATTAGTAGCTTAAAAATAAACTATAAGCTCCTAAATAAGCTTTGCCAAAAGAGCTCTTATTTTAAGGTAGGAGCTTATTTTGGGAACATTACCAAACAGAGCTTATAGCTTATTAGTAAGTTAAAATAAACTATAAGCTCCTAAATAACTTTTGCCAAAACAAAGTCTGACATTAACCCTATATTATTTTCTATTCTGGATGCTCTAAGAAAGCTTGCTAGACACATGACATGATTTATAATAAAAAATAATAATATTTGTTTAGCCCGATTAGCTTAAGCGTCCAAATTTAATAGTCAAATGTAGACTGATTCAATACAATGGATTCCATTTAAAAAGTTAAATTCAATTAATTTCATTCCACATTCATGCCCATAAAATGAGAGAAAGACAAAGTAGCACGGGGAATTTATACTCCAATACTCCATTACCCAACAAGGCACCACACTTTAAAAATGTTACTTTCATACTCTCTCTAGTTACAACTCATAACACCATTTTTTTCGATTTTATTTTCATATTTGTTATTAACCTGGAGTCAAATAGTGGAACTCCTTTATCAATTCGAGTGATGAAACTTAAGCGAATTTCAAAAAAAAAAAAATGGTGAGTTTGATATCACGATAATAAACAACTACTAATGACATTTACATAGATGAGATGGAGCATACAAATAATTTCAATTAATGAGAATATGAATGTCTCAAACATTCCATGATGAGAATTTGGACTAGAACATTAGAGAAGTGGAATGCTGCAAAGTGTAAATCATGAGTGTTGATTTTATAACTTATGTAGTCGATGATTGGTCAATATGATCAATAAGAAATCAATATTATTACTATGAATAAAAAGGATTTCAAACTTATTACAAGCATTTTTTAAGGTATTTATATGGCTTGAACATAATTATGATATTTAGTCGAAATTAAGAACCCAAATTCTCTAAATCATGAGCATTAATTACAAATTGATTGTTTACCAACAAAGGATTACAAGAATTAAATGATTGTCCATAACCAATTAAGAAGGACGGATAAAAGTTACTCCGTAATAATTTTGTCCCGACTGAACATTTGGAAGGATGTAAATCATGGTAACTCAACTGAACATGAACTACAAAGGCTAGACATTTGCTTACTGCCTACAATGAACCCTCTTCACTTTAAGAGGTTGCTACACACTACCGCTGGTGAGACTCGGTCCCTGATTATTCTTTCCAACTTTCACCTCTATGACCAGTTGAGTTGCACATGTGGACCATAATTTTGTTTCATTATATGCTGGCATAGTGTACAAACAGTTTGGTAATATATGTAGACAGTTGAATACACCCCGTGATTTACTTTGAGGTGTAATCTGATATGTTTTTCAAAAACTAAAATCCTCCGAGCGGCCGAAGGATTTCTTACAGTGAGCAATGGCGGCCTGAACATTGTTGTCCCTGCTACACACTAGTGTCCCGCTCAAGCTAGTAGCGCCACCACCTTGACCTTGATGATGGAGAGGCGACGACTTGATAGAACCGGGGCAGCTTTTCGGATGGCTTCTGCTACCACCGCGATGATCATCAGACGCCACAATCCCTCTGATCGCGTCCAGCTTTATCCCCAGCCGCAGCAGCAGTACCGATGATCTCGATTTCTCCGGACCGTTATTAGTACCGATGATCGCCTTCTTTTGTCTTCTGCTCATCTTTTGGTTTGAATCCAGGCCGCCTCCTGATTTCGCTCTCTGCCTGCTAAAATGTGTTGCGGTTGAAGACGGCGACGGCGATGTTACCGCCTGACTCTGTTGTCGCCGGATCTTCAACATTGAAGCCACCATCCACCGGAAGCTCATAACGTACCGGAATTTTACCATCATGTTCATCACTCCTCCGCCATCCGCCGCCGTCCTAGACCTAGCCCTAGGGATCGAGCGCTATTCAGTCAGAGCATATATAAACAAACATGCAATAGATTGGCGATTACAGATGGATTTCTTGTGCGCAAAGTTAACAGGAACTCTTGAGAAGCTATTAAGACGATTGGAGATTGAATTTATCTTTTCTAGCTATATTATAGAGATTTTGAGAGTTTACGATTAGTCTAAACTAAAGAAAATAGAAATCCTAACAGAGAGATTATCAGAATCTGTAAGCTTAATTACCTGCTCATGCTCAGAACCAGCTGTTTGGAGCCGTCATTACTAATTGCAGAGTTCTGGAAATGATCATCACCCATACTATCATCGATCTGCGGCCCCTCTAACGTATTGAGCAGATGATTCACCGGCAAGAAAAGAGGCACTTTCCGTTTGTTGGGAGCCGGCGGCCAGTCCACGGGAGGTGAATAATACGAATTAGAGGGAGGTGAAGAAATCCCGATGAACGGCAGAGCAGCCTCCAAAAACGACACCCGAAACTCGAGATCATCATCACCCTCGTTTTCATTCCGACATTTCGGCGGAGGCGGCGGCGGATGATCTAGATTTATCTCAATGTAAGCGTCATCATCATCATCGTCGCTATAACCGCCTTGATCAATAATACTCTCATCTTCATCGTTAGATATCGGCCCGAAAGAAGAGTTGAAATCCAGGGAGCTGAAGGAGAAGCTTCTTCTTTGGTCCACCCCTTCCTTTTCCCTTCTGCTGCTACTTTTGATCAGCATGGCAGCCTCTAAAACTCCCAAACTTCCACTCCAAATATGGAGGAACAGATAGAAGAAGAAGAAGAAGAAGAGGCTAAGATGATGATGGATTGATGGTGATCAGGTTGAACGGAAGAAGAATATTTGTTCAGTTGTTTGCCAAAGTCAAAGACTAGTTTGTGTTTGAAAGGTAAACTGCGATTGGTAAGACCAATAAAACAGGGCACATTAGTTGACTGTCTAGACGACCCACTCTTTCCATGGACTAATCAACCTTATGGTACAAATTAAAGTACATATTTTGGGTTGTTTTGAATCTTGATTTATAGCAAGTGATTAGACCAAATACAATGGACCATGCAATATTTGCAAAGAATAATATATGGCTTAAGAGCTTCCTTTATATATAAAAAAATCTAATAATTCCCACCTAATTTTGATAATCCACGAAACAATAAATCTACTACATGTATAATTATGTATGGACTATGGAATACTTATGAGGAACATATTGGAGATAGATCCGAAACAAATAGACCTAGTGGAGCGGAATAAGGCAAATCCGATTAGACCCGGGACCCCAGGATCGAGCCCCGTGCTGCCTTAGTCTGGGCCTCTACCTCGGCCAAGCAACGCTCAGACGGTGTCAAAGTGGTTATAACTAATTCCTCATTATTTCGGAGGCGATTAAGGGGACAACTTAGTATAAATACAACATCCATTGTCTTGTTAGGACATCATCATGATCATCTTCAATCTTCAGTCTTCAATCATGAAATCTATTGTAATAGCATTACATTGCTCTTGAATACGGCATCCTAGTCTATCCTTTAATTATCGAGTTTATTAATTCGGGCCACCGGGTTAATTAAATCTATCTAGTTAGTCCAATCTTAAGTTACTCTAATACATTCAAGATTATGGTATATTATAGATAGATCATAAAAATAACTTCTAAAGTGTTTTCGTAATAAACATGTGACAATAGCAGTGTTGCAAAAATCGCGCCTAGGCGCTGATTAGCGCTAGGCGGGCCCCAGGCACCTAGAGGGCGCCTAGCGATTTTTTCAACATTGGACAATAATAAGATTTAAATCTAAATTAGTTCCAATAAATGAACGATTTTTACCACTTTAACTAACCGTTATTAATTTTCATTTTTTTTTCTAAACAATAATTTACAAAAACAAAATACTAATTGATACGAGTCTATTTTTCTTGGCACATATATAGAAAATCGCACAACCGTGCAACCTACCTTTTACTTGAGATGGTTAGCTCTTCACTCGGCACACTTTAACCAAGTGTTTAGAGTCTCAATTAAATTGGTAACATACACTTTCACCAAGTATTTAATTAGAGTCTCAACTAGACTACAAAGAATGGGGCAAAATACACACATGAGATTAAAGACAAAACCATCCCAAGATTATATATTTTCTTTAACCACAATACACAACTTATATTTTCAATCTTGAATTATTTTTGATTGAGTTTGCTAGCACTCTTGATTACCTGTCTTCAAAACATAGATATGCATATATACTGATATAGTCTCCCTCATGTCTATATCACACCCACACATGCCATAAAGGCTACAAGGGGAGTTGCACCAAGCTCCTAATGTCAGATGCCATGCATTAATCATTGAGCACCATGTTAGGGTATATATGATTTGCATAAAGAATCTTTGATATGGTTGTTTGGATCGGAGCTCCAAAAATAGATCCATCTTTCCTGTTTATTGAACATATTATTAGCTGTCCTTCTCCAAAAAGGCTCCACTTGTGGCAATCCCTGCAAATTTTTGGATTTTTCTAAGTACATAAGACGAGAAAATAATGCTATGATTTCCTTAAATTAATCGATACTTAATGCGTCATTGAAGAGAGCTTTTTGTCTCAATCTGGGCACTGATTAATCCCACCCATATTCAATAACTTGCTTTGTACTTCATATTAATGCTTTCTAGGGCTATTTTTTTTTTTTTTTTTTTACCCAAAGATATCCCTCTAGCCGATAGCTAAAGACTAATCTCCCGTCCCTAGTGTCAGCATACTAAGTGATAGGGGATTGGCCAAGTGGTTTGCTCCATTCACATGGGTCTCAGGGTGTGAATCGAACCCCCAACAGTGTTGAACCACCACGCCAACCATGTTGATTAAGGGCTATCTTATATATCCCTACTAAAAGTTGATGAGTTACTAGTCAATCATTATTCCATGGACCATGGTCTAAACATTTGTGTGAACCATAAATAAAAAGTACATTTTTAATATACTAAAAGTACACGATTTTTTTATATATTATCAAATAATGTATATTCAATACACAAATAATATAATTTTAATATATTACAAATGTATATTGCATTCGTGGTCCACACAATATATAATTTGCCGTTACTAGTGGTTCAGTATTTGCCATTTGGTCCCGGTCCAAGGATCGATCTCGGTCCAAGCCCATCTCTGAATGGAATTGTAGGATGCGGTGTATGTCTATCGTTAGAAAGAACAATTAGTTAATTTACACCTGGAGAGTGTGGTTGAGTGAAAGGGACTCATTCATCCTTAACCAAAGGTCAATGCTTTGATCCTTTGCTTTGGGTATGGAGTAGCCTTAAATCATCAGGCTAGATATCCCACACAAAAAGAGGTGCCTACAATCCAATCCCAATTTTTTGCTTTGGGTGTGGAACAACCTTAAATCTCCAGGCCAGATATCCCACACAAAAGAGGTGACTACAATCCAACGAGGAAACGATGGGATTAGTCATTGTGTCCGATGGTGAAAACCCTAGATATACCAAAAATAATAATAATAAAGAACAATTAGTTAATTTATTCCCAGATTTAAGGGATTACTTTGTTTATTTTTAATGAACCAATTTGTAAATAATATTCCTAATTTGTGGGATTTGCTTTCCTAATTTAACTTCTGAGCTATATAAATATCCTAGCTTGTATTAGTTAGCCATAACCCATAGATTGTCTAGGTCATAAATCCGACAAAGGTTTCATTGGTTACTCCAATTTCTCACTCAGAATTAAACTTGCAATTTTGTGATTAACGAGACAACAACCAGTCTAACATGGCTGAAGTTGCTCAATATTACTTTTTTATTAATTTGTAATAGAGTTGATAAATTTTCGAGTACTTATTAATTTTTGTTTCCTTTGTTGAACCTTATTATATAATGACTTTCTTGCCACCAATAGACCTATTAATCGTGTTAAATTATTTTATTTTATCTTTTTGTTTGCTGTACCCAAAAATAGTTTTTCTCTTTGGATTTTTTGACGCGTCCAAGAAAGATGAAGTTGATTTGGTGTTGTTATATATTTAATTTTTCATGGATTTTGATTTCATTATCTCCTTAACCATTCCACGAAAATTTTTTATTATTACATACGTGGCTCCTTTTGACAAATTGATTAATTCATAAATAATTGACAATTGATAATCTAATTGTTTTTCTATAAAATAAAAAGACTAAGAGCTAAAAACTAAAAAAGACCACGTAATAATCAATATAAAACATGTGGCTACTGTCGAATACTATTGGGAAGGTTTGAGAGCTCATGCACGCCAAGCTCCAAATTTTGAGAGAAAGAAGCCATCCAATTTATTAAAAAGAATAGTTTTAATATGACACAAGTGACAATGTCACCCTCAACTACAAAGCTCTCCTAGCTTATTGTTACAATAATTAAAATAATTTTAAATAATTAGTTTTAAAAAATATTTTAAATTTGAGTTGATATGTCCCCTAAAAATTATAAGAATTGTATGAAATTGGTTAATTATATTATCATGTGCTATTTCATTGCATATTTGATCCTTATTCCTTTCCATCTCTTCGTCCTCCCCTCACTCAAGATCCAATACAAGGAAGCGAGAGCATCAATAATAATCTACCACAAAGCTCTATCATACAAAATATATACCCGATAGCCGTTTTAATTTTGGTTATCTACTACTCTATTTTGCTCTTGCAATTGTTAAATATGTGTTACTCTAATTTCCATCCTTGCGCCAATTGCCAAATTCACATCTAAACTCTTCAAGAAAGGTTTCACCATGGTCATCTAGTAAACCTATTTTAGTTGTGGTTAAGTGTTGATAGTAGATGCTAACAGTTGATTGGATTAAATCAATAAAACAATAAATATATATTATTATAAGTTATTTTAATTTTGTATGTTATTACATATTCTAGCACTAAATAATTAATTTATTAAATACTTCTCTGCAAGCTAATACAAAGTACTATTATTCAGCAAAACAAATAACATAATACGTTATAAATAATCAAGGGAAAATGGCACTTTTTCCCCTCTGAGTTATATACTTATAGCATTTTTTCCCCCTAAGTTATTGAAGTGGCTGTTTTTCCCCCTGAAATGTTAAATGGACATATTTACCCTTAAACTAAATATTTAATTTATTTTTTTCTCCAACAAATTATGACCATAATTTGGTTCAAACTAAACAAACACTATAGCAACCAAACCGAAATATTCCAATTACAATTTAGAATCGAAATTCGATATTTAGAGTTTATTAAAATCGTGAACCGGAACGGACGGTTCATGTTCCGAAAAAAAAAATAAAATTATTTTTAGACTATTTTAAAATAAAAAATAAAATTTTAAAATAAAGACGGTTCAAAACTACGAATCAAATCCGGAACCGCTGGTTCACGGTTCAAGATTCAATTTTTTGATACATAATTTTAATAAATTGACATTTAAATATTGGGTTCTAGATCTGAATTATAACCGTAAACTATTAATTCGATTGCTTTAGTATCCGGTTCAATTCAAATCGAACCGTGGTCATCCCTACGTATACGCAATAATTTGTTGGAGTAGTAAAATAAATAAAATGTTTACTTTAAGGGTATAAATGTCAATTTAATATATCAGGGGGAAAAAAACACCACTTTTAGAATAATTGAGGGGGCTAATGTGCTTATCTAAATAATTGAGGGGGAAAAAGTGCTATAAGTATATAACTCAGGGGTAAAAAGTGTCATTTTCCCAATAATCAATTAATATAATTCGTTATCTATTAAAACCTATAAACGAACTTATGCCATAATCGATCTTTAGTAGAATAAATAACATCTGTATATAAACAGCACGAACTTATATTATTATATATGACCAATGCTCTATTATATTTATCACCTTTGGATATCTGCCACACCACATGCAGTGGACGATTTGATCATGCATAATTTCCAAGTCAGCGAATAATAATAATAATAATAGATCGAGTAATAATAGATCGAGTAAAATCAAACCACATGGATTGACAAACATTATTTTAATTAATTTAATTAAATATCCACATGAGCCATCCTGTCTCCAAGGGGCGGTGCTGGACGGTGAACGAAACAAAAATCACAACTACTCCGTACAAATTAAAGGAAAAATAAAGAGAAAACAGAAGAGGAAAAATACCCACAAGAAAAAAAAAAAACATAAATAATGAAGCCAAATGCTACGCCTTCCTCCGTCTTGCAGTGGTGGCGGAGCGGCGGCGGAATTTCGTTATCATTAAGAAGTGCGGACCATGACACTGCGCATCATATCCTTGAACTCGAAGAAATCAACGCGGCCATCACGGTTTTGATCGACGGAGGAGATCATCTGCTCTACTCTGTCCATCTCTTTGCCTTCCTCCTGCAATCCCAGCTTTGCAAGCACAATCTGTTTATAAATAAACATCAATATATGATGATTAGACGAAACTTTAATTTAGGGCTTTTTGTAAGAGGAATTTAATGATGAATATTAATTTGACTATATATATTTTGTAATTAATCACCTGCAATTCTGTCGCCGATATGAATCCATCGCCATCCTCATCGAACACCTTGAACGCCTCCGTCAGATCCTTCTCGTCCTGCGCTGTGCAGCTAGTACTTGTCGACTCCGCCGCTTCGTCTCCGTTCAAATCATAATCTAACGGAGATCCGAAGAAGGCGTCGTCTAGTGAGCGGTGCAGTGCGTGGAAGTCCTCGAATCTCAAACCGATGTTACCCGGTTTAATGAAAGACCGGACTGTAGATTCCATCTCGGAGAAGTCTGTGTCCAGGCCGAGAAGGTTGAGCGCCCCGCTGAGCTCTTCCACGGTGATCATGCCGTCACTGTTCCGGTCAAACATGTCGAAGATCCGGCGGAGACGAACCGAGTTGAGGCTCTGGCTACGGAGCCGGAATGAAGGAGAACTGGTTCCGTTGCAAAGCATCGCCTTTCTCTGCGCATGAGCTGCACCTTCCATGGCGCTATTATATTATATCTCCCTGCTTAACGAAAGATGAGAAAGCGAATGGAATGGATGAACCGATTAAAAAACAAATGGAAAATCAATACTCAATAGATAGTGTGAGTGTGAGAGAATTGAAGCTCGTAAGAGCTATTTAGTGGAGCGATGTGCAGAGAATGGAAGAAATGAGGCGGAGAATATATGAATGGTGAAACACGCAGAAAAAGCTGCGCATGTGATGCTCCGGTGCACCAACCAAGGAAATACCCAGCAACCTCCCTCGCGAATATTCAACACTAATATTCAGCGTTTTAGATTTTAACGGTAAAGTCGAGGGATTCTAGCCTTAACGCCAAAGTAAATTCTTCCTCACCCCAAGTTTAGAACTTTGCTTACTGCTGAAGCCTCCCTCACTTTGAGAAATTGTTCTCATACTACAGTTGAAGTTGTTCTCATACTACTGCTGGTTAGACTCGATCCCTGATTATTTTTCCCAAACTTTATACCAATTGAGCTACTCATGCAGGCCTAACTTAAAAAGTCATGACTCTGTAGTGTGAGGTCGAATATAAATCTTACTAGAACATGTATTAGAAAAATAACCCAATAATGGTGTAGGAAAATATCGATCAAATTCCTATATGTAGATAAAAATTAAGATTTGATCAATGAATTGATCACATTACTCGCGATTTATGTCTGCAGTGGCTCTAGAAGCGGAGTCTGTGAGTTTGGAATTAGTCCGACCTAATTGAGATTACCAATGCTAAAAAAATAATTTATATATTTATATAATATACTCTAAATTTACAAATTTATAAGTAGTCAATAAATATAAAATTTTGGTGGAAAGCATGAAAATGGGGGTTTATTGATTAGGAAATTAGTTTTGTATCATAACAGACTTTTGGTGGAAGGCATGCAGTGTTAGTATAAAATTTTGGTGTAAAGCATGAAAATGGGGGTTTATTGATTAGGAAATTAGTTTTGTATCATATCATAACAAACTTTTGGCAAAAGGCATGCAGTGTTAATCGTGTCAGGGTAAATTTTTATTGACTTAATTTCATTTTTTGCTCTATTTATTTATAGGTCGCAATCTATTTTAAGTCATTTTCTATTAGAACATTCACTTTTGGTCTTATTATTATTCTGATATGATTATTTTTAGTCTTTTATCAATAAAACACAATTTAAATATTGTTAAATATAAGAGAATTTCAGTCTTCAATTATGATTTTTTTTAAAATAAACATAAAAAAATAAAGCGGTTCAACTACTTTTTATTAAAAAAATTGAAATGTCTTTGCATTTAACGATATTTCAACGATTTTGTTTAAAAATAACTAAAAATGATCCTGACACAATAATACTATGACCAAATGAAAATGTACTAATAAAAGATGATTAAAGTGAACTACCACCTATAAATCTATAACCAAAAATGAAATTAACTCATTTATTTTTATTCATTATTTTGATGTTTGGATCTAACGGAACTCGAAGTTGGAAAAGGCGTGGACAAAGACCATTTCTTTGGCACACACTTATCATTTATGTAGTTAATATGGTTGGTAGAAAAAATTTGAAAATGAAGAGTGGGCTTTAATATGTTTATTTCTTCTTCTAGATATGGTCATCACCAAATAGCTTTGAATCCTTCCATATTGACAACTATTCAACCAATTCAACGACTCACATGTTTTTTTTTTATTAATTAAATCAAGTTAAGTAAATTCAATGTAATTGATTTCCACTTATTAAAGCATTTCTTTATTTAATTTGTGATTTACTTTTTTTTTTTCAGTTCCAAGCATCCATTTTTTTAAAAATCCATTGTTGAGTAAATGTCTCTTAAATTTGTTTTTTTTTTTCCCCTATATTGATTATTATAAATAAAAGAGAATAGTGATATTTTTATAAGGACCAAACTATTTGTATAAAAAAAAAATTAACAAAATTACTCACCATCTAACGTGATTTATATTTGACAAGAGTGAATCTGCTAATTTATGATAACTAATAAATAAATTATTGCCACTTCGTAGGGTGATTTTTATGAAAGATTTTAATCTCCATAAATTTTACTATTTTTATAAATAAAATAATACTTTTATTTCTATTATTTAGAAAAATATCATCATTCATTTCTATTTTAGCGCGTAGAATATTCCTTGTGTTTCTTTCCTCAATGTTCGCATGCACTCTCCACGTGACTACTATATATTATTGGTGTTGATGCATGAATACAGCAATAGCACAGTGGATCCATGTGTTGCATATTTTTATAAAAATACATCTTCAATGGTTTTGCACACAAATAATTACGTGCATTTAGAATTTTTAAAAATAGAAAATAAAAAAATATGTTTATTTATACAATTAAAAATATAGAAGATAATAAATTTAAAAATAAAAATTGAAATAAAAAGAACCCATGCGCTGTTCTACTTGCACAAAACTAACAAATTTTAGAAAAATGTTGAAAAATAAAAACCATTTTTTCTATAAAAAAAAAATTATTTTACTAAATAGGCCCATAATGCCCATAGATTTTCGCATTGAGTTGAGGCCCTGTTTGATCTACTACTAATAACCCGCTCTGCTGAATGCTGATCCTAGCAATTATACGGTGGACTACGGTTCAAAACGACAAACACTATAGTGTATTTAAATTGACATTGTCTCACGTATTATTTTTATTATATTATCAAATGAAACCGAATAACAATTTCACATATTTGAGTATATATTGTCCAGTGAAACTGTAGTTCTATCAAAATAATACTGTAGTTGTGTTGAAATGAAACTGTAATGCATATTTGATGCTTGGACCATAATGCATCGTGGACCGCGGTCAACAATATAATTTGCCATGCTGATCCTCATGAGCGATTGACAGCTTGGAGAATACGCAGTCAATCGTTATGCGTTGGACCCGTGTCCAACATGCTTGCTGGACACGGGTAGCAGTGCCGTTAGGCACTGTTATCTTTTTTTTTTTTTTTTTTTTTTTTTTTTTTTTTTTTAATTTCAGATCATTTCATTGTAATAGTATATGTTCATAATTTTATTACTATATGTTAATAACTATACATTCATAACTCCATAACTGTACGTTCATAACTCTATAACTGTACATTCATAACTCCATAACTGTACATTCATAACTCCATAACTGTATATTCATAACTCCATAATTGTACATTCATAATTTTCGAAGCTCTATGTTCACAATTTTAGAGCTCTATGTTCATAATTTTATCACTATATGTTCATAATTGTAAGTTCATAATGTTAGAGCTCTTTGTTCATAATTCGATCAATAACTGTACATTCATAATTCCATACTGTAGATTCATAATCTCATAACTGTAGATTCATAACTCCATAACTGTAGATTCATAACTCTATAACTGTACATTCATAACTCCATAACTGTAGATTCATAACTCTATAACTGTACATTCATAACTCCATAACTGTACATTCATAATCTTCGAAGCTCTATATTCACAATTTTAAAGCTCCATGGTCATAATTTTATCACTATATATGTTCATAATTATAAGTTCATAATGTTAGAGCTCTGTGTTCATAATTTCTTAATTGTATAACTGTATATTCATAATGGCATAACTGTACATTCATAACGGCATAACTGTACATTCATAATCAAAAAAAAAATAACGCTGTTAACGCCGTTAACGGCAAAACGCGCGCGATTTTTTTTTTTTTTTTTAACTAAATGACGCGTTTTTTTAAAAAAACGACGTCGTTTTGGGCCCGTGTCCACAATTAATGTGGACACGGGTCCAGAGCATAATTTGCCATACGCAGTGCGCGAAGAATCTCGCTCAATTGGGTCGTGTGTGATAATCTAAAGGGGCCAAGGCCCAATATCCCAATCCAATTATCGGTGAGGGGATTGGTTGTAAGAGCATCCATAGTAGTGAATTTATTTTTATGATTTTTCAAGTGTCGGATTGAAAAGAGGGAGTAAAAAAAAAAAAAAAAAAAAATCTAACAATTCTTTTTAGAAAGAAAGAAGCAAATAAAGGTGTTTAGTCAGCGGCCGCCAGCTGGTGGTCACTCTGACGCGCCTGCTTGGGGCGCGAACTGCGCTCCACTTGCACACTTTAATATATATTTTTTAAATACTCTTGAAAAAACTAAGTTAACTAAGTTTTTGCAAGAGTTAACTTTTGAAAAAAACTATCCTTCACACCAGTTAAAATTCAAAGGGTGATTTTTCACTTCTGCAAAATTTGTGTAAAAATCACAGATATGCATGCTCTAAGTGGCTTAACTGGCTTTGAATAAGTTATAGTTTAAAGTGATTCCAGAGATGTGTTGCATACTTGCATGTCCTTATACAAACAATAATTATACCATGAAAATACATAATTTACATACAAAATACTGAATGTTTATAATTTACATACGCACTTTACATACTTAATGTTCACAATTTATATATTAAATGTTCAAAGTTTACTTTTTAACAGGGCGTTTGGTTGGAGGGATTTTAAATTCCATTCCCACTTAATTCCCACCTAATTCCAAAGGCCATTAAATTTCGTAGTTTGGTGGAATTGCAATTTCCCCATTTTCATGGAATTAAAATCCCATGTCCCCCCCCCCCCCCCCGGGATTTTAATTCTTGAGAAAAAAAAGATAGTGATGGGTCAAAATTACCCCTTCCTTTTTTAACCTAAAATTAATGTCTAACAACAATAATGGACATTTTTGACTTTATACTACTTATTCCCTTTCAATTCCCATGTATACCAAACATTGGAATTGAAATTCCCAGTAATTCTATTCCTGTCAACCAAACACTGGAATTTAAATTCTCACTTTATTCCCAATAATTCAACTCCCATGAAATTACAATTCCTTTCCCACATAATTTCCCCCTCCAACCAAACGCCCTGTAATAGTATAGGAATTTTTTGGGCGGGAAGTTAAATTGAGGATTTTGTTTTTATATATAGTATAGATAGATAGATAGATTGGTGTAAATAATAACTAATAAATTATTATTTCTTTATAGAATAAAATAATAATTAATAAATTATTATCATTATTTCTTTATAAAATTACGTTATTATGCAGAATTTTCAAAGAATATTACCAATTAATATATATTAGTTAATCTACATATAACATTTTGCTACCAATTAAATTTTATTAATTTTTTTTACTAATAAATAAATTAATTAA